ACTTTGATGAATATGATAATCAAAACTTAGATTCAATCAATCAAAGAGTTTCAATAAATAGATGAAAAAATAAATACAATGTAGGTCAAAAAATTTCTCAAGAAATATCTCTATTTTAATAGATTATTGTAATGAATTAAGTACCAAGAAAGAAATGAGAAATTTTGATGAATATGATGATTTTATAAGTTTAGTTCAATCAATCAAAGTTTCAATAGGAAGAAGAAGAAGAAGAAAAGTTTATGCAATGTAAGTGCAAATGTTTTCTTCAAAAATATATCTCTTTTAAAATTAATATAGATATATTAATTACAAAGAAAAATTGAAAAACTTTGATAAGAGAAATTATTCAACAAGTTTGATCCAACAATCAAAGTGTTTGCTATGAAAAAATAAATTTAAATGAATGTAAAAATGTAAATTCAAAGAATATTTTTCAAATGAAAAACTTTCATGAGTAGATTTTCAAAAGTTAATTTGATCAAAAAGTTTTTAAAACTAAATAATTTGATAATAATAAATGAGATGAGAAATCAATTAAATTTTAGCTCAAAAGAATCTCAATTGAATGCTCTAAAGTTCTTGTCATAAATGATAAGAGAGTTGGTATTTATAGAAATGAAAAATGTCAAAATTNATTTGATAATAATAAATGAGATGAGAAATTAATATAATTTTAGCTCAAAAGAATCTCAATTAAATGCTCTAAAATTGTTGTTATAAATGACAAGAGAGTTGACATTTATAGAAATGAAAAACGCCATCGTCAAATCGGATGACCTGTCCGGTCGACCGCCAATTTCTGAATGACCAATGTGATCGTTTGTACAGGAAAAATCAAAAGTTAGAATGGTAAATTTTGGACCATTGATGTTTTCCAGTCGACCGACGCCTTGGGTCGGTCGACCGTCAGTCAACTGGTTGACCATTGACCGTTGACTTTTTTCGGAGATATGATCTAAGTTCAAGTATACTTTGAAAAATCAATTTTACTTTTAATAAAAAATATTTTATGCAAGTGATATGAAAATAATTTTTCGTGTACAAAATGATTTTTGAGCTATTGTCATTAATTACTAAAGATCAAAGTGTTATACATTTACATATGATCTCAAAAGCCTATTTTTTTTATCTTGTTTCGATATTTCTTTCATGTTTTGCTCTTAAACTCTTGATTTTGTTCTTCTTCATGAGCTCGATTTGATAGTCTTGATTTTGATATTTTAATCTCTCGTTTTGAATGCTTAACTTTCACTTTGATTTTCATTTTAAGTCTGATTTATAATGTGTTGATTNAAAGTATTATACATTTACATATGATTTCGAAAGCTTAGTTTTTTATGCTGCTATGAAGTTTCTTTCATGTTGGCTCTTAAACTCTTAATCTTGTTCTTCCTCATAAGCCTGATTTGATAGTCTTGATTTTGATCTTTTAAGCTCTCGCCTTGAATGATTTAACTTGAATGCTTAACTTTTACTTTGATTTTCATTTCGAGTCCGATTTATGATGTGTTGATTTTGACAATACTTGATTGATTATAATGTTGAACTGTCATCACTCAAAATCAATTGTTAGAAATAATATAAATCTTGTTTGCTATGATCAAAACATTAAAAATGAAATCAACCATATGTCAACATAATCTTGAATCCGCCACTGTCCACCACTATTCTCCATGCACCACCGTCATTGGTGGAGATGATAACATGCAATTTCAGATATGAAAGCAGACTGACATATAAGAGCTTTTGTTGGTGTTGGTGGTAGTGGGAAGCAACGATTATGGGATTTTATGGATGAGAAATTGGCGTGTCTATCACAAGATCTTGGAGACCATTCTACATTGGGGCACTTTGCAATCGATCCCAAAGTTTCTCAATGACTCATCACTGGACGTAATAATAAGTGCACAAACATGTTCAAGTTCCAGTATCTCAGGCTCAATTCCCTGCCAATGTGTAGAACTAAGAGTTGAAATCTGCTGTTCAATTTGCTGCACACCTAATTAATTATTGACACATCACTTCAAATTAATATATCATCAATTTGTAAGATTAGTGGTGAAGTTAACAATGGTAAATTTAAGATGACTGTTAATTTAAAAATGATATGCCAATAATTAATTGGATACGCAATAAATTAAAGAGCAATTCTCATCTCCAAAAGCGACACCATTGCTAGATGAACCAACTAAGATGTGCAATTATTTGATCTTGATCTCAACTTTTTCAATTATTTCTTATTTCTATCAAACGTCCTCTATGAAACGTTGTAACAATCTTGTTATGGGCATTAGCTTTTGGCTCTCTTTTTCTTTATTTTGCTCTTATTTAGCATTTAATTGGGAGATAATTTTTCTTGGGGGGAAAGTACTGTTTAGATGTATATAGTTAAAGTAGGAAAAACTTATTAGGCCACGTGAAAAATAATTATTTTTTTAGAAATGTACAGTTTTCTAGAAAACTGAACTTCAACAAGTTTCTGTAAATTATTGACGGTGCAGATCAGTGTTGATGGTAGCAGTGCTAGGGGAAATAGGAGCGGTGCTACTAACACTTCTCCTTCCAATCTTCCATCAATAGATAGATGGCATACTGTATATATCGTGTTACCACTTAATGAATGGTGGTCAAAATAGGGACGATGGTGGTGATTGATTTGACGGTAGAATTGACGATCTTTCTTGCTGATTTTTCAATAGACAATTGTGGTTGTGTCACTATTGATAGTGAAGACGGTGGTGTAACGAAGAATTTTACAAGTGGTGATGACGATCTCGTTTATGGTGGAGATAGATTGTAAAATTTGTGTAACACACTGTGAATTCTATGAGTGCTGGTAACGACGGCAAAACATGTGGTGAGATGTGTATGTCATAATATAAGACGAAATGGCACAGTACTACAAAATGTATTTTTAAAAATAAAACACAACATTTCGAGGGAAGAAAAAGGTACAGAAGTGTGTTGTGAATTAGTTTTGCTTTTAGTATACCGTGTAAAATGCTCCAATTGATCTTTTTTATAAAATTTCCCACTTTAATGGCAAAATCCAATTTTATTATCACCCATATTGGGCCATTCAAGGCCCACCCGAACTCAAAAATTAGTCAATTGGGTGGCCAGTTTTGACTTGCTTTTGACTCCCAACAACCCCAAAACAAACGCGTAAAAACTGCAAACAGCTGCCTATTTGGAATACTCACAAATTTCTTTCTATCTTCCCATTTGGTTGGTTAGTCTATAATTTAAGCCTCAGTAGGTCTATCACAACACACGTCTACTTCCATAGAACTTCCTAGATAATTACCGAGTGTGCAGTTACTTTCCCCAACGGTTATTTTTCCTGTACATAAACTCACCTCAAAGATTTTATCATTGGAATATTCCAGTGTTTTCGGTAAAAATCTAATCTATCTTATTTATAAGTGTGCTAGTGAGCTTACATGTATATAGAAGATTGGAAGAAAGTTCTTGTAGTGTTCAATCTCAATTTACTCTTTGATTACGTTAGGTTTCCGTACCATCGTACCATTCGCATCTCTATATCTGTACTTTTCTATTTCTTTGGATTAAAGGAGGAAGATTTTCTAGGCCCTGATAGTGATTTTTATTGAATTTTTTCCGGGTTTGTGTTATTTTTGGTTAATATTCAGATTTCTGATTGGATCTGTGGTTGGGTGGTTATTCTGAGCAGTTTGGCAGTTATACACAAGATCTTGAAAATCTAAAATAGCGAAAATGGCGTCAGGCGGTTTAAGCGGGAAGAGGGCAAGTGAAGGATATGGGATGGGGTTGGTTAGGAATGCATCATTTGGGAGGAAAAGGATTTCTTTGTCCAATATTGCCATGGAATTTGATGAATGTACTCCCTCCACTCCAAAGAGACCGTGCTATGAATATTCATACTTTTGTTCTGAGAAATCTGCACTGGAAGCTCTTCCTCAGGACATTCTGGTTAGTTTATGCGGTTCAGTTTTCCTTTTTTTTTTTTTTTTTTTATTTCTTTTTGGATTTGTGAATGCAATGGTTGTTGAAAATGACTTGTAAATAGGTTCNTTGTCATTGTTTTAGGATTTGTGAATGCACTGGTTGTTGAAAATGTTTCGTTATGTGCTGCTTAATCTTTTAGATGAATTTGGTAATCAACTTTCTTCACAGTCTACTTTTGAAATAGTCATTTGTCATATAAGGGTGAGGGAGCGGATTGAAGATATAACTCAAATTAATAAGTTTGTGGCTCTTTCGTGACTTAAACTTTTAGACGATATGGTTCAATAATCGGGACTTGTATACTGTAAATTTGTATTTTGCATATTAGTGTGTTGTGTATGATTTGTATTGCTGAAAAAGTGTGATCTTCTTTGGTGATTCAGATTAGGATATTGTGTGGTGTAGAGCATGATGACTTGAAGAGGCTGTTTTTTGTATCAAAAACGATAAGAGAAGCGGTAAGTTTCGGTTGTCTAGAGGAACTCTTTTAATTGTCAATAAACTTTGTGATGTTCCAAAATATCCCTTTATTGATTTTGATTTGGCTGTTTTTGAATGAATAAACAGACTTTGATTGCAAAACATATGCATTTTACATATAGTACGCCGAAGAAGACGGTGGGGTTTAGGAATCTTGATGATTTGAGTGAACTCGATGAGATAGTAGCTCCAAATGCTCCAAGGCAATCACGGGTTCCACATTCACGATTAAATACGAAAAAGCTGGACGATGTGTCGGTAGCCTTGTTTGCTTCCGATAACGAGGACAGTTGGCATCGTAGAGATTTGTTTATGGGAATGGAGATTTGAATTGAAGTTTTCGACTCGTGTTCTTGTATATGAGGACTTGTTGTTGTCGGTGTAGAAATAATAGTTTGATTTTGATTGATCTGATCTGATAAGGCTATCAGATTGTTGTACATGTTGAGGTAATTCTTCAATACTTTCATTGAAGGTGTATGTTGGCTTGTGTTGTAAATTTGTTTATGGATTTTGTGGATTTCCCTTCCACGTTGATAAATATATCATGTAATATATAAGGTTATTCGGAATAACGGTTGTTCTTACTTAGTAATTACATCCTCTGTACTCTATTCAAATCAGTATTCTGCTTGATTGTTTGTTTTGGATATGATAATACTTGGTGTGATGGTCATTGTAGCCTATGGTCTATGATTAAGCTGTTTCTGCATTTTTATGAGTCTCTAGAAGTACTTGTTTTGTCAAATTCGCCCAAAATCCTCGAACCTGCCCTTTCAAAGAGTGGATTGATTTTTCAACCATGCTGGACTTTGAGATGGAGCGCTTCAAGACCGATTAGCTAAGCATTGGTCCATAAATTGTTCAACATGCATACCTGTTGATTTTGAACTAAGGGTCAAATGATATGATAGTGCGTAGTATCTTTTAGATTAATCGTAAAATGTGGAAGAAGGGTCGATTTTGAACTATAAGGATCAAATGATATGATAGTGCATGGTATCTTTTAGATTAATCATAAAATCTGGATCACGGTTACGGATGGCAACTGGGCGGGGTCCGTCCCGGTCAAATGATATGATAGTGCGTAGTATCTTTTAGATTAATCGTAAAATGTGGAAAAAGGGTCGATTTTGAACTATAAGGATCANNNNGTTTAATTTTTTTTTTTTTTTTAAGTTTTTGATAAAATTTTTTTTATCGTCTATATTCATTATATTTAGACAAATAATTTTAGTTGCTATTTTTCTATTAGAACTAATGAAAATTTTCATTCAAAGTATTGAAAATTTTCATTCAAAGTATTGAATTCAAAAAAAAAAATTAACAGGGCGGGGCGAGGCCTGCGTTACCTGATTAAACAGGTTATCCCCGACCCGTTGGAGGCTGGGCCTCTCGTGTATCGGGTTTGTTGAGGTTTTTTTGTCATCCTTAATCAGGGTTGACGCTTTTATTTCTTGCTCTCTTTTCTATGTATATATACAGTGTGTCACAAATAGTGTAGGTTCATTTTTCATTATTAAACACACGTAAAACTTTTATAAATGAGTGTGTTGTATTCATAGGCTGATCAGATAAAAGTTAAAACACGTGTTAATGATGTTATTTTTTTAGTATTTTATTGTACAATGGTGAATGGTTAGTTATTGCATTTGAATTTTATTGTTGGTTCAAAAATTACAAAGAAAATTACCGTATTTGTATGTTATCAATCAAACTAATACAAAAATAATACTAAAATTTGACAAATCATCTTAATGATATTTTGACAATTGTTTTTATATTTTGACAAGTGTGAATAATATTGAGATGGACGTGGATATGTCAAAGGTGACAGTGAAAATTGATTGGGTGAGCTGTAAAGAATAATATCGAATCTCAATAAAGTTATTTGTACAAAGTTGAGTTACAAAAGTTGGGTTACAAAGTGTGTTGGCAAAATTCATACTATTGATTTCAAATGATTTAAAAATCTGTTTTTTTTTTT